TCAGGCTTTCAAAATAATGATTCAGTGTTGCCGAAAGCGACAAAAGCGCCCTTCCGACCGCGTTTAAAAGAATTTAATAAAAAAGAATTAGAACTTTACAAGAATTAGAATTAATAAGAATTTTACAACCAAGCTCCCTCTCAAGGTTCCCTCTCACGACCCTGGGCACGGTGGATCACCTGCCCTTCGCCTCACAGCCCCGGCGACCACGCCCCACGCCTCGATCTTCTTGGGCAGCAGCTGGTCCGACAGGTCATCTCCGTGGCCTAGGCAGGCGTGGTCGCCCTGGCCCCAGGTAAAGACGGCGCTGTCGGCGGTGAGGGCGAGGCCGAACCCGGCTCCAGCCGACACAGCGACGACGCGCCGCCCAGCAAAGGCCTCGATCTTCTTTGGCAGCAGCTGGTTCTGCTGGTCGCCGTGGCCCAGCTGGCCAAAGCGTCCATAGCCCCAGCTCCAGACGGCGCCGTCGGCGGTGAGGGCGATACTGTGGTGCTCTCCAGCCGACAAAGCGACGATGCGCCGCCCTGCGAACGCCACGATCTTCTTTGGCAGCAGCTGGGTCTGCGTGTCGCCGTGGCCCAGCCGGCCATAGGCTCCATAGCCCCAGCTCCAGAAGGCTCCGTCGGCAGTGAGGGCAAGGCAGTGGGTGCCTCCGGCCGACACAGCGACGAAGCGCTGGCCAGCCAACGCCTCGAACTTCTTTGGCAGCAGCTGGCGCTGCCGGTCGCCGTGGCCTAACTGGCCATCGGCTCCCGAGCCCCAGCTCCACACTGCACCGCCGGCGGTGAGGGCGAGGCTGTGGTGGTCTCCAGCCGTCACAGCGACGACACGCTGCCCCGCCAAGGCCTCGACCTTCTTTGGCAGCAGCTGGTGCTGCTCGTCGCCGTGGCCCAGCTTGCCATTGTAGCCATAGCCCCAGCTCCAGACGGCTCCGTCGGCGGTGATGGCGAGGCTGTGAGCGGTACCAGCCAACACGGCGACGACGCGCCGACCCGCAAAGGCCTCAACCTTCTTCGGCTGCGGCCGGTCCTGCTGGTCTCCGTGGCCCAGCTTGCCACCGTGTCCACTGCCCCAGCTCCAGACGCTGCCGGCGGCGGTGAGGGCGAGGCTGTGGCTGTATCCAACCGACACACTCACGGCGCGCTCGTCGCCCAACGTCGAGGGGAGGCGGGTCGGCGTGTTGAGCTGCGCCACACCCTCACCGTGGCCAAGCAGCCCTGACATCCAGGACATCTTGCCGCACGACGAGAGCCGCCCCTCGCCGTCAATGAAGAGGCTGTGATGCTCACCTGCTGCCGCCCTCGCCGGCGGGTTGGACTCGCGCAGCAACGCAGCGAGACACAGCCACCGCACGGCGCAGCTCTCGCCCACTGGCAGCGCCGGCAGCTCGAAGCCGCGCTCTTGCGCCCACAAGCGGATGGCCTCCACCGCAAGCGAGGCGTGAAAGAGCAGCGAGACGGCCGCGACGCGAGCGATGTCGGCGGGGTCGCAGCGGGAGAGGACGCGCAGGAGGAGGTCCGTGGGGAGATCGAGGAGGCGGGCGGGCGGCGGCGTGTCTGAAGAGGCGGCGGCGGTGGAGGCGGGGGCGAGGCGGCGCGAGCGGCGGCGCGGCAGGGTGGACATCGCGAGGAAAAGAAATGAAACTCGGTGCAATTGTAGAGCACCTACCCCACCCAGAAAAGATTGTGTCTTGATTTGCCAACAACACACCTAAAACAAAGAAAAGAATTTGCGGTTCCGGTACTCTGACCCGCGGATGATCCTCCGCCTGCTCTTCCTCGCCCTCTGTATCGTCGTTGTCTGCCTGCCGTGGCTCGGCGGCGTCAGCACGCCGGCCACACTCATTGCCATCGGGCTGCCTCACGACCCTCCGCTGGACAGCGTCGCGATCCCGCCTCTGGCGCCGCTGCTCGCAGAGTGGCTGCTTGGCCCTTCCGAAGAGGGTCGGGACGCAGCGCCAGCGGCGCACAGCTGCGATGCCGACGACAGCGGCGGTGGCGGTGGCGGCCGCGACGACAAGGCCGCGGCCCTCTCTTCGCTCGATGCGTCCGCTACGCCACACTTGGCCCTCTGCCACGCTCCGGCCTGCGGCGGAGTCGACATGCTCACCGTCACCCTCCTGCGGCGGAGGGTGGCGGCGGCGGCGCGCGCGGAGAAGGGAGGCGGTCGAGGGAGCCTGGGAGCGAGGCGAGGGCGGGCGGAGGCGGCAGAGCCTCTGGTCGGCCGTGTCGAGGTCTGGGCTCGGCTCCTCTCGGCTCCTCTCGTCTCCTCTCGGCTCCTCTCGGCCTCCTCTCGGCTCCTCTCGGCCTCCTCTCGGCTCATCTCGACTCCTCTCGGCTCCTCTCGGCTCCTCTCGGCTCCTCTCGGCTCATCTCGACTCCTCTCGGCTTCCTCTCGGCTCCTCTCTGCCTCCTCTCGGCTCCTCTCTGCCTCATCTCAGCCGGCCCCCAGCCATAACCACTCAACACCCACCCTAACGATCAGCGTTCGCAGGTCTGGGCCCGTCCGGCCTCCTCCTTCGCTCCTCCGCCCTCCAGGCCGCCGCTGCGAGACGCGCTGCTGCGGACGGCGGGCGAGGGCGGCGACGGGGCGCTGTTGAGACTGCTGGCGGGCGAGGCGCGAGCCCTCGCCCTCGCTGCGCCCGCCTGCCAGTGTCTGCTGAGCGGTTGTTAGTCGGCTGTCCACATCGTGATCATCAGGCGCGCGCCGCCCTCGCTGCGCCTGCCTGCCGATGGCCAATACTGACGAGATACCGAGGACGGTTGTTTCTCTACAGACTCCATCAACCAACAGGCGCGCGCCGCCTTCGCTGTGCACCCACCAATTGTGTGTTGAATGGTCATTCCTCTCGGCCACTCACCAATCAACAGGCGCGCGCCGCCCTCGCTGCGCCCTCCGGCTTGCCGTACTTGCGTGGCGGCGGCTGGTCGCTGCTCTGGAGTGACGAGCTGCCCGGGCCAGGAGAGCTGCTCTCCTCCTCCGCCTAATACGTACCTTAAGGTTACCTTAATGGACTGTCTTATAACACCCGTGTGTGTCTCCTTCACTCGCAGGAGAGCTGCTCTCCTTCGCCGCCGACGGATCCCTCACCGGCGCCGACCACACTGCAACATATGAATGATATAAGAATGATATAAGAAGAAGAAGAAGGAGAAGTATTGTGGTGTATGTATCATACTCTTCTCCGGCAGGCGCTGCCTACCGCGTCTCGCGCGGCGAGGCGGAGGATTGGGCTGTCCGCATCTTCACGCCGCACGCCTCGCCGTGTGCGGCGGCTGGCGCTGCCTCGGCCGCCACGGCGAGATCTAGCCGAGATCTAGCCGAGATCTGGCCGAGATCTGCCGAGATCTGGCCGAGATGCTTCCGAGGCCGAGCCATGCCGAGGGCGCGAGAATGGCCGAGATGAGGCGCCGTGCGCCAAAGCGTTGCCCGCGGCGAGGAGGCGGCGGTGGAGATGGCGCGAGATGGGGCGAGATGGGGCGAGATGGCGCGAGATGGCGCGAGATGGCGCGAGATGGCGCGAGAGGACTTGTGCCGATTCTTAGGCGCCGCCGCCGCACGAGGACCTGCTGCTGGCGCGCGGCTCCCCGGTCACTGAGCTCGCGCTGCATGTCGTCGGAGCAGTAGCCGCCGTTGCGCGTGTCCTCCATCCGTGTAGGACTATGAGCGGCTGCGCTCACCATCGTACCAAAGATCCAAGGACTGCTATAGCCCTCGCACAGAGGGCGCTCCCAATCGCTCCAGCCGCGAGCGCTTGTGAGTGAGCGCGCCGGGAGGGTCTCCTCACAATCCAAACAGTGATCGCACCGATTGCGAGGGGACCCGCTCGCAATCCTAGAAGTCGTAGGACTGTGGGCGTTGTCGCTCGCAATCGGCGAAAGTTCTAGGATTGCGAGCGCTTTTGCTCGAAATCGAAGGCATGTTGCTAGGATTGTGAGCTAAGCTGCTCGCAACCCTAGAGCTTGCTCGGATTGTGAGCGCGCTGGTAGTAGTCGTAGGCGTCACCAGTCACATTGTGAGCGGAGCTGCTCTTAGTCCTAGAAGATGTAGGATTGCGAGCGTAAGGGCTCACAATCCCAAAGATGCTACTATTGCGAGGAGTGCTGCTCACAATCCTT